AGATTGGACTTCTCACGAGCGAAGTCACGGGTCTCAAGAAACAGCTGGAGGCCCGTGGTGATGAAGCGACGGAAGTCAAAGTATAATGCAGCACACGCAGGTACAAACGACGGCATGTTCTTCAGCCGTCGGCGCAACCTATCACCTATGTAACAACGACGAAATGTTTCTGGTGGGGAGCGGGCAAGAGGATACCTCATGCAGCGGCAGCAGGAGGACAAATTGGCGTTTTTCACTCATTGTCGGCGTCTTGATTTCTCATCTCTCGTTTATCACACCCATGTTTCTGCCTCTCTGACCCATCAGTTAGCAGGACGACCCGTTTCGTCCCGGGGGAAGGCGTTTTATTCAGGGCACTGGTAGATGTGCACGGTGGACCTCGATATGAAAAAAAGTTTTGAGTTGGTCCGTCGTTGGACCATGGGACCAGTCTATGGCCATGTCCCAGGATTTTCCGCGACGGATTTTTCCTTCTTCATTCTGGTAGTTTTTCACACTGAGGATCCTGATATCGGCTTTTCCCTCTCATGTATTATAGCGGTCGTTGCAGAAAGTCTAGCCTCGAGGCTCTAGGTCTTCCTTGAGGAGACAGAATATCGGAATTTCAATGCCTTTTAGACATCAGGGCCATCGAATCTTTGAATTCTATTTCATTTCACCCTTGGGAGCCGTTTCTGGTCACGGTGCTCAACTTGCTCTGTCCCAGACAAACGACAATAATCAATCTCGATCCCTCCTCAGACTGTAGCATCACCTGCTATGCGACAAGTCGTTGCAACTTGCAAGGGCCTACATGCAAGGGATACTCGACTCACGATGGGGTTTCAACGTGACACGGAAGACAACCTGGGTGGACACACACATTGCCGCTTCCCTCTTTGGCTCAGATATATGCAGGTATGTAGGTTACTCATGAGATGAGAGGTGATGATAATTCATGCCAAGAAGCCGAATCGAGCCAAGCGAAAGGCACAGAAAGAGCCGTGTGCCTCGCTGCGAATGTAAGTGAAGGTGAACTTGTAAGCTCCAAGTCGAGAGAGGGAGGGATGCAGAGTTTTGTTGCTCTTTGACCATCTTGAAAACAGCGCGCAAAGCCTTTCTCGCCAAGCATACCGCAGAGACACCATTAGAAAAAAAGGAAGATACAAACGGATACCCAAGGGATATCCATCAGCTGTGAAGGGGTGGGAAAGGGAGAGGGGAAAAGAGACAACCGCTTCCCTCCCCCGCCCTGGATCGTGATAATCAAAAGAAGTGTAGAGCCTAACCCCTCTTCTTGAGCATCCTAAGAGTGGAAGAGGTTGCATACGACCAGGCATGGGTTCTTGTTCAAACAATCCCGTCGACACGGTACGCACTTGCGCTGGGCTCAACGGTTGCGCCATGGCGGTAGCCATTTCTGCACAATCAACATCCAACGCCGGCTTGCTGCCGCCGCCGACCAAGTGTTGCCGGTAGTCGCTGGAATGCTCGCCCCTCCGTAACAAAATTTGTCAACAATGGCCCAGCTGGTGGTCAAATAGTGAGACAATTTAGGTAGCCTGTTCGGGACGCTTTGGTGACCGACCGACCATCTACGCTATGCCCACGTCGTGTTTGCTATGCAACACGAGTCGTGTTGCGCCTGGATCGCAGTCGAGCTTGCCAGACGGAAAGGGCGCAAAAGCTTGCATCAGGAAGAATCGAGACGACTGCGATATGCGATTGATGGTGCCGTGCCTCGACAGCTCCCGTCAATCAAGAGGTATAACTTCAACGAAAAGATAAGTTGATTAATTCAAGTGCCGCCATTAGCCATTCCTGTGCCTGACTATCAATCGTCCCCCCTGTTTCTGACCAATGTCTCTGGTCAAAACAACGGCGGTCCCGTCCCGTGAGGCTCTAGAAGCCGTGAAGGCGTGGGCCAGAGCTAAGAGCAGCACTTGACCGTGGGATTGATAACCAAACCAACGTCAAGTCTGGAATGCATCGTCAGATAGCGTGTTTTTGTAACACATGTGTAAATCAGGCGTATGAGTCTCGTGGGTGAGTTGGCGTTGTTTTGATCAAAGTCGCGTCGTTCTGCTGGCATGGAACGTACGCCCGCCAGGAATCTCTCGTTCTGGAAGCAGGCGCCATGACAGATTTCTTTGATGTTGCGGACGAGGGCCTCGGTGATGTTCAAAATCACGAATTCCACAGTACGAGGTTTGGTGGGTGTAATTTTCCAGTGACGCGAGTTCGACCACCAATTGGGTGACTTTCACTTGAGTATATCGTACTATTCCGGCGTGAAGTGGGGGACTATTAATCGAACAAGATTATCGTCGATGCCGACCACTTACGCAAGCCCCAGGTAAGGTACGAATAAGTATAACCCACGGCACTCTCGAGCCGATGAGGGGGAGGGTCTTTCGTGCAGCAGCCAGCAGGGCTCGTGACATGACTCTCCTCGTAAAAGGCCTTTGGGTTTGGGTCCTTGAGAGAAGGGCCTCTCCCTGCACCTCTCGTGAAGACCGATAAATCGTACAGGCCTGGACCCAGAAGGCTGTCGATGTTTCAACGTTTCAGGTGGGAAGATGGTGGCTGCGCAGCCATTGCTTTTCGCTCTAGCGCAGATCGATCGTAACTTCCGAAATTGTGGTGTGGATTTGTGGACGTCATGGCCGAAATGAGACGAAGCAAATGGCACGGCCCAGCAGGTAAATGTTCATGGCCTGTAGGAATATCTGTACGTAGTACGAATACCTCGTAGGTGGTGTGAGTGGCCAGAGGCATGACGCCTTTGAAGGGTCGTGATTGAGCGAGCACGCGCTGTATCCGTACCTAGGTAGGTAGGTACGATCGAAGCTTGGTTGGATCTCCATGTTTTTGTTGTCCCTTCGTCTTGGCAACCGCAGTAGTTGCAAGTGATGGATATTTGAAGGTAGTGTCGGGCCAAGTACGAGCGTTCGTCGTTACTAATTGGCGACCGGTGGATAATGGACGATGTGCAACGCTATTGAAGCCATTGGCGTGGATCGCGACCAGTTAGCTCTTTGTCGTTGATCTTTCGGCCCATGGTTTTGTTGTTGAGAAAGTAGTTAGGTACGGTCTTCTTGGGAACCTGGGGAGGAGATGAGCCACAGCCCGACGAGAAGCCGAAATTTCTCGATTCCCCTTTCGTTTGTTCTAGCGGAAGCCTGTAAGATGAATGGCATCTGGCACTTTGGCCGTCGTGGTTGTGAATAAGATTTGGTTGCTAGAGAGATTTGCCAAATCCTCACAAAGAAGCCCACGTAGCACCGGTGGCGGGGGCTAACTGAGCTACTGTATCGCGCATTTCAGGCGGAATTCTGTAGCGAAGCTTCGTATACATTAGCCTTTGGTAGACCGATGACATATTCCTCATGAGCCATCTTGAACTGAAGGTTGGCTTTTCCCGCTCAGGATAGCTATGCATCAGCCGGTCAAGGATTCTCCAGATTTCAGTTGACATGGACATGTACTCCGTACGTGCGCAAGAAGGGTTCATCGTGAATCTGTTCTCGACCCTTGGCCAGTGGCGCTTGCTGGACTCCAGACTTCAAAGCTCTTCCTACTCCTTGAGTGCGTATCTGTACCGGAAATCCAATAGACAATAGGGGTAACTGGGGTTGCAATAACCTCCGTCACCCGCCACCCGTGATCCATCTCTACGGCGATTGTCAATAGTAACCGTGTAACGTCGCTTACAGCCGAATCTCGTATGAGCGCTTGATGTCAATCGTAGTAGCGCACGGTGGCTGCAGCACGGTGCCAAGGACAGCCGAAATCAACAATGAATGGTTGGAGACTGGCTTTTGGGGTCTGGAGAAGACCCAAACAATAGGGGGGAGGACCATGGTTCAATGGGAAAAGGCTAGTTACTGGTGCCAGATGTTATCCCATTCCCACTTCAGCGAATTGAGATGTGAGGTGACGACGACGACAGCCAAGGGCGACGACAACGATAGCGACGAATCGATAAAAACAAATGAGACCAATTGACCAGGCTGGCGAGTGGAAATAACGTCGTCGACACTTTCGGGAAAGGCGCTTGACAGACGGTTAATTGCCTCGCAGTGTCGAAATTGAGCAAAGCTGCCAAAAGCCAGCCCATGGTTAGTGGGGGCAGGGATTGGTTTACCTATGCATGGTTCTTTAATTGTGCCAAGGCAATCTGATTCGACTGGGTGAGGGCCAGAGTCGTCGACAAAGACCAAGAGGGAAAATCGAGCCGTCAATTGACACGGCGACAGGCTGGCTGTGTTGTATCAGGGGACAGGGTTCTGACTGGGATTGTATGCGTAGTGTCTTTGTACTCCGTAGGAATAATCCGTTCAACTGTCGCATGCAATGGCAGCGGTGATCGTCATTCGGCTGACCGGGCTTGTCGAGTTGGAGCTGGGGTGACGACGAATATTTCCGCAGCGCTACAACATCTTTGTCCGGGGATGATATGATCCATTCGTCCAATTGTGCAGCGAGAATACGGATACAGAGGCGGACTCTGGAAGAAAAAGGGGGGAGAGGAAAATGCGGACAAGGCGGTGGCTTGACACGCAACGGCTATGGTTGGCGGTGATGGCTTGTTTCGCCAGTTGGTTTGTCTCGCATTAGATCCCGTCGGGTCGTATATGTGCGCTGCGGTTGTTTCCTACAGGTACCGTCGTCAATTTGGTTTCTGACGTTGCTTTTTATTTTCTGCCCAGAAGCATAGGATGGACGCCCGATGGGACGAACTGGTTTTGCCTGAGGCGAGCAGAAAAAGAATGATACAGATAAAGAAATGATGGGACGACAGCTGTGTGGAAGACGAAAGTCGATGCCGCGGCGGGAGCGTCAAGCAGTGTGACCGGGACGTCCCTGAAAGTGCCTCGTGGGAGAGTGCCACAGCTGGGTTGATTTTTGGTATGTGTTTTTGGGCGCTGCGCCAGGATGAAGGCACAAAGTACAAGTGCATCCATGAAGATGTGCCGTTCTTCTTGGACAAGTTGGCCCATGGATGATGAAAATGGCAAATGAAGGCAATATGCTTCCCATGCCTTGGACCCGGATTTCCGACCATTACCAGCTGCTTTCTGGGTCTTTTGGCCAGGAAGGAACCCAAGAAGGAGGAAGGGGGCCACGCCTGTTGGCTGCAGGCGCCTTCCACTTTCCTCGTACGACACAATGCAGACATGCCAAAAAGAGGGGGATTTGCGCCTTCTGGGTCCGCTATGCGCATGTGCATGTGTCCCCAGGCTTCGCATGCAGCACCTTGTGGTCCTCCCTCTCTGTGTTCCTCCAGAGTCCACTCAAGTCGGTCGTGGGCTCGTGGCTGGGAAGGAACTATGGGATCCCGCGGGCAGGTGAGAAGCAGCGAGTTCAAGATGGAAGGAGCAATCAGCCAAGCACCCAATGGAAGTACGGTATCCGTACCTGGCCTTTCTGTGTACGGAGTAATAACAGCAATTGAACGCGAAGCGAGAGCGCAGGTCAAGGCCCAGGTCCAGGTCCAGGTCCAGGTCCAGGTACAGGTACAGGTCAGGGCCCGGTCTGGGTGCTTGTGAATGTCAACGTAAAAATAAATGGATCCAACGAACCACTAATTCTAATTTGCCGCTAGTCCAATCCAGGCAGATAACCCCCTTTCCTTCCCCTTCTGGGGCAGATGCACCGCTTTGCTGCGAGGTACGGCGGGTGCCCTCGTAAGCGTGTGTCTGTACCTGCAGCCCGCGGGCGGGATCGTCTGGTCTTGTTTCTGATAATAGTGCCTGGGGGGTGGTCTTGGATAGGCTTGGGGGGGCCCTGGGTATGGTCTTGGAGGCCCGGGTACGGCTTTGTACCTGGCGTACCTGCCGCGCCTGGTCTTCCTAATTTCCCAAGGGATCCACGACATGGCCTCTTTACCCTGTTTTCCTCCACTTCACCCTCTCTTTCTCCCTCTTCTCAGTTTCTCCTGGTCATCGAGCTCTTCATTCTCGTTCACCGCGTTGATTCCCAACTAGAGAGTTCGCTCTCACTTACACTCTTTTGAATCCGAATCAGCCAACACTCGTTATCCTGTAATCACCTAGTACGATTTTCTCCGTTTCGATCACTATCAACACCGACAAGGCACGCCATACATCGAAACGATTCTCGATTCTGACTGCACTACTCGCGAGAAAAGGGTGAGTGAGTGGTTGTGACGGGGGAAAACGCCTCCCAATTAGGGGTCTACACGAAAGCGATTCGGGGCAAAACGCGCAACACAGTATCGCAAGAGGAAATACCACCACCTTGCGCGCGGCATTGAAAGCGATGAACAAAGCACCAACTGCATCGTTGATGTTGTAGTTGTTGTTTTTGCCATTTTCAAGCTCATTCATTGTCTGCTGATACAGCGTCTCACCGCCCCCCTATGAAGCGCCTTTTGTGTACCCTCCAACGCAATTGAGGTTCAAGTTGCGCTAACACGTACTCTAGAATATCAACATCAATCGACAATATGAGGTCCATCGTTAACCTCGCCATTGCGGCATCCCTCGCCGCCGGTGTTGTTGCTCAACCCCACAACCACCGTCACCGCCACGTCAAGAGGGATACCGCTCTCGACCAGCGCGACGTTGTCGTCGTGTACGAGTCCGGCCCGACTGTGGTCGCCTACGAATTGGGAGGAAAGCCTATTAGTGAAGAGGAGGCCAAGAAGGGCATCGCCGATGGCCTGTTCGTTGTCGTCGGCGAGACCACCCCCTCCTCGACCCCTCTGCCGTCGGCCTCGACCTCCAAGGCCCCCGTGGCTTCCACTTCTAAGGACGCCCAGTTCTTCGAGGCCAAGGTTGCGAAGTCTTCCACCTCGTCCACCCCGACGCCTACCCCGACCCCGACTCCTACCCCCACCCCGACCCCGACGCCTTCCTCCACCTCTACTCAGGCGCCCGCTTCCACCAAGGCCTCGAGCGGAGGCTCCAGCAGCTCCGGAGGCAAGGGCCTGACCGCCGAGTTTCCCAGCGGCACCATTCCTTGCTCCCAGTTCCCCTCCGACTACGGCGCCGTTGCCGTCGGCTATCTCGGCACCAACGGCTGGACTGGCATCCAGAGAACCCCCAACTACAGCGTCGGTGACGCCGCTATCTCATTCATCGAGACTGCCGTTGCCTCTGACGGCGGCTGCTCCAAGAACTCCTTCTGTTCCTACTCTTGCCCCGTTGGCTACCAGAAGACCCAATGGCCCACCGCTCAGGGCTCGACCAAGCAGTCTATTGGTGGACTTTACTGCAACGCCGATGGCTACCTCGAGCTATCCCGCCCTACCAAGAAGACCCTCTGCGAACAGGGAGCCGGCGGCGTTTTCATCCAGAACGACCTCGACGACATCTCCTGCGTCTGCCGTACCGACTACCCCGGTACCGAGTCCATGGTCATCGCCACTGTTCCCCAGCCTGGCCAGCAATTGGCTCTCACCAACCCCGCCTCCGCCGACTACTACGTCTGGAACGACAGCCCTACCACCGCCCAGTACTACGTCAACAAGCTCGGCTACGGTGTCGAGGATGCCTGCGTCTGGAAGAGCTCCAAGGACCCTCTTGGAGCTGGTAACTGGGCTCCCGTTAACATTGGTGTTGGCAAGAGCACCGATGGCAACACCTACATCTCCATCTTCAACAACGCACCAACATCGACTGCCCAGCTTGATTTCAACATTGAAATCACGGGTGCTAACAGCAAGTGTGCGCTTGTTGGCGGCTCCTACACCGGAGGTGGCACTGGCTGTACTGTAAGTTTACCTACTTTGGCGCATGGACATCGTCCCTTGACTAACACGCAATTCCCAGACGGCCATTTCCGGCAGCGCAAAGGCCATCATCAGATTCTACAAGTGAAGAGCCCATGACCAGCAGTTACCTGGCGTGGATGTTTTTGCTTTTGTTTCTCGTGAATACCTCTAGAGTATCGACGGATCGGCACGACACGTCCGCTTACGATCTTTGATGGCCTTTTTCTAATTTGTGTGCATAATTTTCATGCTGTGGAGACGTTTGGAGAGGAAAAGTTGGAGCGATGGATAGAGGACGAGTTCAACAGCCTGAGGGCGCAACTGGAACTACCCAGGAATCACGACAAGCCGAGACAGACATCTCCTTTCTATCGGCGAATTCGGCCCATGTCAACTCGAGCCACGATCTGCGACGATGCCTTACGATTACCTTTATGAGGTGTTTTCTTTCGCGGTTGGGTGCCGACGTTTTGCCGCAAAAACAGACTACAACAGGAAATAGTTAGTAGGGGGTTAGAGATGGTGGATACTCGACTCGGGTAGTTTGCATAAGAATGGACGGGAAGATTTGGAGAAGGGCAGAGTTTGAACGGCAGCCCTCGCCGGCACATTGTCACCATGACGCATCGTTTTCTTTGTCTATCGCTGTTTGCCTTGCTACCGTGCCTGTATTGTTTTCGCGGGTGGTCTCATGACGAGCGTAGCCCGCGGGCGTTGGGGGTACCCTTATAGCCGCTTCGTGTATTGCCGACGCAACGTTAGTTTTTAATTTTACTGCTCACGACTACTCTACCTTGCGCTCGCCAACCAAGGTTGGTCCAGCATCCGTAAAAGACAAAGTCATCGGGATAGATCACGGCGAAGTTGGGCCTCGGGGGTCCAGGGGCAGACGTCGGCAGACGTGCAGCCTCACATCCGCCGCCGCCCTCTTCCCTGCCGTTCGGGCCGGAGGCCGTCAGATCGGGGGTGCCCTGACCGCATGCGGTGGGATAGCAGTCGTGGGCATATCGTCTCCGGGCCGTCACAGTGGTTGAAGCAGACAATCAGACGGGGGTTTTGAAGTCTTGATCAAGCCCACGTTGTGTACTGTGGTCCTGACTTGAAGCACATCGACGATGGTATCGCAGAACAATTGATTTATATTTGTACGATTGATGCACAATGGTGCAAGGCGATAATTTCTAATTTAATGTTGTAACCGGTCTTACCGCTGACTCTGGCACCGTTGCTGACTGGCTTCGATTGGGTTAGAGGGTGATGCGGAGATGGTGTCGACAGAGGTGGCTAAGTCGTTTTATTATGTAAATTGGCGCTGATCTGGGGGTTTCGGCGAATGTCATCTCCAACTACTACCTAGGTCAGTAACAAGAATCACAGAATAATGCATCAAGGACCAAGAGGATTTCCTTCCGATTCCATCTACGCCATTTTGTGAACGTTTTCTGTCCTCTCTTGCAACGGCATGCGTTGGCCGAAATTGTTTCTCAACGGGTCTCATAAACACCAGTTGCAATCAGCTTAAGCTTCAGGTGACAGCTCGCATACAAAATTGCCCATCAAATCTGACATGATCCATCGTGTGGGGTGGCTTCTTAAATCATTGACCCCATTCCGTCGCTCCCATTCCCCGAGCGGCCGGGCCCATACCGTTCGGCTCACGGCGGCAGATCGGGGACGGTATGTGGTGCCCACCGGAGAAGGAGGGCCACATGACGGTTCAATTCCTTCATCCGATTTCCATTCTCTCCTCCATGCATGCGGTCGTCTTTGGTGGAAACAGCGTAACAACGGCTGGGCAAGACTTGCAGACCGAGGCAGGTAGGAGGAGGCAAAGGGCCTTTTCTACGTTATTCTTTTACATATTGTCCACTCTGCCCCCGCCTCCCCTACCTTGCCGTGCTTGCCCATGATGCCTTGCTCCAAAAAACACTGGCTCTTTCCCTGTGAACCAAGCCCAACTGCATCCCATTCATCCGCGTGTTCTCTGCCTGTGTTCTTCCATTGGCAACCTCGAACCCCTCCTACCGCCCAATCGGCGCTTCCCCGCATCGCCACCTGATCACTTGTCTGTTGGAGATTTTCTCTACATTAACCTCGACACCCTTCCTACAATTCCTTCGAGCATAATTTAAATTTCCAAATATCCTTACCTTGTCGATTTCTCTTACTCATTGTCTCGTCTTTACAATATTCTCCTATACTGTCCTAGTTCCAATTTCCGGTGAACGACTGCGAGAGTGCTGCCGTCCCTTCCATAGCTCTGGGGTTGTCGTCAATCCATCATTGTACGGTGTGCCCCGCGATTCCGGTTGAATGGGGGGGAAACACCAAAGACTGACTACCTACACTACACTACGTCAGAAATTTCTGCAGGACATGCAGCAAAGCCTTGGTTCTCGATCCGACAGATAAAGAGCCTTATCTCGACTGAAAAATCTGAAAAATTCCGCCCTGCAGTGGTATCTTGTTCTATCCTACCTTGCCTTACCCCATTCGATCGAGTCTCGCCAACCTCTCTGCCTATCGACGGATTGTCATTGGCGAACCAGAGCTCGCTGGGCTAGCTATCTCAAGCTCGGCTCCACCTCTTAACCTCAGCTCGACTTCCTCCTCGAACCTATTTCTCGGTGGCTGTTTTCTTTAACAGTTGCTTGTTGAATATTTTATTGGCCACTGGCTCTCGTTCTCAAATTACTCGCTGGCAACTCACTCAAGAAGAAACATCGACCAACTGATCAGCCACCATGTCTTTGAGCCGTGTGGCCTCGGTGGAAACGTTCCAATTCCTGCCCCAAGCCCAGGGATCGAGAC